ACCTGAGCTCCTGGCTGGCAGGGGTTCGGCCTCGGGTCCCAGACAGTGGAGGGTGTGTGTTGTAGAGGATACTGGGGTACTTACTGCTCGGACTTGGGGCAGAACCGATAACCCACCGTGCTCTGTCTGCCCTGAAGGGTTCCCTTGCAAGGTGCGCAGCCTAGGGAAGCCAGTCCTGACCACCTCCTACAGGTCACCTTACACCACAGGTTGGGGTTGCTTTCCCAGAGCAGACCTCACTCGCGCTCGCTCAACTGTTCACTCACATTCACCCACCCACGCTGTCATCCACTGCCCCTCTCTCTCGTGGAGTGCACTGCATCTCCAGTGGACTCTGCTTGCATGGTGCTTCTGTTCTAGTATGCGTGGGAAACAAAGCAGAAGGCGATAAACAAAGAAAGAAGACAATGCCTAAAAATGGAAAGGGCAGATTCCTCTATACAGATCGGGAAGTGAGCAATCCAATCAATTATCTTTAAACTGTGTTTTTCAAAGTAGGCAGGGTTCTGAGGAAGCGCCTGTTTGGGGGCCTACTCCTTGTCTGTTGGGGCCTGATGCCCTCCATGGTGTGTTCAGCCCCCCTTGTAGTGCCTGACATGGGACATATGCTTCAGTTGGGACATTTCTTTGGGCAGGTCCTAAAACAGGCCCTTTACAAGTCGTGGCAAGAGGAAATACCTTTCTTGAGCTTAAGTGCTTGGCATTTGTTTTGATTTGTCTAAAATGTCCCCCCAAACCGTTGTGTTCAAGGGTGGGGTTTGGGGGAGGTGATTGGGTTGTGGGGGGCACTATATTCATCAGTGCATTAATCCACTGATCAGTTTGTAGCTGGATGTGTTGTTTGGAAGAGGTGGGTCACTGGAAGAGTATATTCTTATCTCCACTCCTCCCTTTTTCCTTTCCTTCCTGGCCGCCATGGCTTGACCAGTTTTCCTCTATTGTGCCCCTTACCGTGCTGTTTCTTTCTTGGAGCCAGCCAACCATGGACTGAACCCACTGAAATTATGAGCCAAAATAAACCTCTCCTGGGCCAGGGAGTTAGCTCAGTGGTGCCTCATCTGCATTGAAAGGGCAAGGTCCTGAGTTTGATCGCACTACTGGAAGAAGGAGGAGAAGGAAGAGAAGAAAAAGGAGAAGGAGAAGACCAAACAAACAAACAAAAAAACAACCTCTCCCTTAAGTTACAGCTGTCCAGTATTCTGTCCCAATGATGGGAAAGTTACTAATACTGTGACTAACACAGCATTTCATTCCCTGTTTTAGCCAGAAACACAACCCTCAGTTGTTACCATCTTTGGAGAATGGATGTTGGGGGATAATCAGAAGTCTGAATAATCTTTGGCTTATTCATTTAGTTTCTTCTCTGCTTTGGGAGCATTGTGAACTGGCCTCCTTGTCCCCTCAACATTTCACTGGAGACTTGGGTGCCTCACTCCATCCTGAGTCCTGCTGTCATCAGCCCTGAGGCTTCAAGATGCAGCACTAGGGTCACTGACTTCAAAGTACTGCTTTCCCTCACTACTTCAGCATCCATGGCCTTCACAGTATAGAAAGTTACCATCACACAGAACTTTCCGCCTCTGAAGTATGTTTTTCTTTCAATTTTAAATATACAAAAATATTATACAATACAAAGATATAAAAATGTATTATGATGCTATTGATACTTGTCTGAAGGCGAGGGACAGCAATGGCCAAGTAAGTCCCGCTGCTAATTTACCTCCAAAAATTTGTTTAGCATATCAGAAATATTTTTTTCTGTGGGCAGAAAGCAGCTCTGAAATCCTAACCTCATTACTTATTTCCGTGTTGTAAATGCTTTTTTTCACATCTAGTTTCAAGAACAACTGGTTTAGCAACTGGTTCACAAAATTTCTGGAAATTTAACAATTGGTGTCCTCAGCTGTGGCGATCCGTTTCTTGTGCACCAGTGTCTTCATTCCACTCAGATCTGTTCTTTGACATTGCTTAGATCCAGTATCAGAGAGGAGCCAGCACGCAGAAGGGATAGGAGAGCTGCAGATGGAGGAGCTAGAGCTTAATGACACCATGCAACTCTTTCTCTCTCACACTTTCTCACTATTTTTTCTAGTTTTTCTTTTTAATTGTATGCAATCATTATAAAATGGTGTACAGGGTGATAAGTCAGGGCAATCTGAAATGATCAAAACAGGATAATTAACATTTCTATAATTTATGTTTGGAACTTTTAACGACCCTTCTTCTAGTTCTGCACAAAATATGCAATAAGTTGTAAACCAGAGTCAGCCCACTGTGCTGCAGAGCACTAGAACATAGAGGTATGCTAAAAAGTAAGATCAATGTCTAATTTTTTAAAAAAATCATTGTATTTGCCATTCATCTCCGTCAAAATACTTTTGCTAACTTCAAACACATCCCATAGTTCTTTCCAAAGCTGTTCTGGAAAACTACTTGTGTGAGTGTCTTTAGTTACACTGTTATGGTTGCCTTGATGTCTTGAATTGATTCAAAACGTTTATCTTTCATGGTCATTTTGACTTTGGGAAACAGCCAGAAGTGGCCCAATACTAGACTGGGTAAACAAGGTGGATGAGGACGCACCATAATACTCTTTTTTGACAGAAATTGTGGTAAATGTACTGTAAATTTTCAGAAAGTGGTAAGAATGGTGGGATAAATGTATTTGAAGTGAGGGGGATTAGTGACAATATGTCTTTCACTATAACAGCTTTTAAAATTTAAGCCTTCACCACATGTTTCTATCCAGCTGTTATTGGTACCTGTTCTCCAACCTCTATCTCTTTTCCTTCTTAACCCCTAGGAATCACGATTCTATTTACTTCTTCTTCTTCTTTTTTTTTTTTTTTTT